AGAGATGTTGTATATGTTCATCTTCAATGATGAATACTGCTGTCAATCTTGCAGTGAGAATGATGACTTCTTTATCTATTCTCAAGTCTCAATCATCTGCTACACAGTATATTGACTCAATCTTTTTCTCAAAATTCTTCTGATGAAACTCTTCAGATTTCTCTATCACTGTCTCTTCATCAGTGAGACAGTACTGCCACACCTGAGTGACTCAGTCAATGAGAGAATTGTTTTCTCTCAATCATAGAAGATCTAGAATGATATTCTCATCTATAATATTGACTGTGTGAAGAAGTAGACTGCTCTTCTTAAAGATTTCTTCTAAGTCTGTGATCACACACTTTGCCTGAATTATATCAAAACAGTGATATTTCATTTCATCAGTAAATTTTACATGATCTGACAGATCTATCTTCTTTCAACTCTTCATTAAAGAAAAGAAATAGAATATGAAGTTAGTATTCACTCTGAAGTTGAGTAGACATCTTACTAATATCTTCTCATTCAGAGTATACATTGTGATTGTAACATGAACTCAGAGATATAAGAATTATTAATTCTTTTCTTTCTCTTCTTTATCTTCTGTGAATATATTTGTCAGAAGAGGAGTTAACTTTGAGAAGATGTCTTCTCAGTTTCTTCTCTTCTTTGACTTCTTACAATCACTGATATAGTGATCATCAGCTCTGCAGTTGAAATAGAGATCTTTATCAAATCTTTTTTAATATTTCTTCACAGTGAGTGAAGAATCAGAATACTTAAAATTCTTCTTTACTTTCTTCACACTGAAGTTATCATGATGCTGTTTAGATTCTGTTATTAATTGCTTAGAAGAGATCTTGTTAGTCTTTTTCTCAGAGAATTGATTATTTAAATAGATTCAGAAAGTCAGGTTGACAAGCTCAGTATAATTGATTAATGAACTCTGATATTATGATATTATTATTCATATCTTGTGAGTCAGCTTCATGAGATAAAGCTGTGTTTTTAATTGATTCAAATCATCAGTTAATTTCTCTCAATATTCTTCAAATCTTACATTGAAATTGAAAGAATTCTCATCATCTCATTAATATAAGAAGTTGAACTGCTGCACTGCTGTGAAGCTGTGATTATGATAATCTTCAATTTAATTCAGTAGAAAGTTCTTGAATTCTTTCTAAGTTAGAACAGTATTGATACACTCAAGCTCTCTCTTCTTGATGACTCAAGTAGTCACAGAGATGTCTTCAAAAAGGTTGACAGTGTATATTACTCATATCTCATGAGTATTATACTGGCTCAGATTAAGGCAGAATTTTCATTCAAGAGTACAGATAAAGCTGTGAAATTCAGACAAGATGTTTCTCTTATATCTCAGAGAATCTTCAATCTTAATCTCTCTATCTTCATGATAGATGTAGGTGTGTAGAGGCTATGACAGTGACAGAACAGTTGAAGAGCTTATGTTAAAATGTGCAGCAGGTTCAGAAATCTCGGATTTCTGCTAAGATAAAGATATACACACTCTAGAGAATGATGTAGTGTTTTCTTCAGAGAATGAGGTCAGATCAGTCTCAGTATAAGTGCATGAAATCATATCAGTCTGTTAAAGCTCAACTGATTCAAACATGTAATCAGATCAAGTAATTCAAATTGTAATATGATAGAACTGAAGCAGTGACTAGTCAGCAGTGTCATATAGAAGTAGTTATTTAAGAAGCTGTATAAGTGAGCTTGACTATCTTACTTGAATAGTGAGCTCATAGACTATAAGGTTATTGCAAGAATATCACAGATATGATACTTAGTATACTAAGAAGATTATATAAAGCATGCAGTAACTCTTGTATATATTTCAGTAGAAGAAAAAGACAAATCACTGACTTCTTTGATGAGAAGTCAGCATCTAGCTATTTTATATAGACAATGAGTGAATATTCTCCTTTCATTTCATAAGCAAGAATAGCTGAAGCCCCGGTAGCCGAATGATTAATGCAGCCACCCGGTAGCGCCTTGGCGTGGGAAACCAAGGCATGTGGGTTTGAAACCCGCAGGGGATACATTAAATCCGGAACTCAAGCACCTCAGGTTTCTAATAAATACAGAGGTGTACAAATCGCTCCAATAAATCGCTCTATGTTCCTGGGCTGGGAAGTTATTATCGCATGTATCTAATTGTCACTCCTTTGTATTTCCTATGTTCTTGTTATCTTGGCATGGTCTCAACACCTGTATTTCCTCCTGTATAACCAATACTTGGCCTGTATTTAACATCACGCAAGGACTCATCATAAGCTCTGCTTGCATATGAGTATAATGGAAGAATAATAATAATAATAATAATAATAAGAATAGCTGAAGTGATATCTCAGCAGTGTCTCATTGTCAAGAAAGAGTAATCTGCTGACCTCATATAAAAGCAGAGTTCTCATATTCATCAATCAGATCTTTCTATGATACATCTGAATGATGTCATAGAGTGATTGAAAACCGGTTCAGACAGAATGAAATCATCCGCATGGAAGTGATGAGCTGTGTGAAACCACAACAGGGCCTTGGCGCGGCCGGGAGCGTGACATGTGCCTTGAAATCTTCTGCAATTATAGAGTTTGTTAATAAAGTTATGTTCAGAAACTCTCTATTAATTGTTCAGATATTGTTATTTTTCTTCAATAACCTTTCATTATAGATATTTATAAGCTGTATAGTATTAAACTCATTCTCTTTATCTATAATATCACTCATCAGAATATCAGAATCAGACATGATATTAAATCTTAGATTAAATTAATATCTTAATCTCTTTCTTTCATAGATAACTACTCTTGACTTTATCTCATACTTTTGAGATAGAAAGCAGTAGTAGCTTGAATAAGAAATGACATATTTTTACTCAGCATTAAAATTCAGCTCCTGAAGTAGTATAAAATCAACTTTTTATTCAAATACAATTTGAAGATAAGAATGAATATAATTTGAGTTTCTATACACATTATTTTAAATAAATGTGATTTTTGAAGAGTTTTTAAACTTTTTTTCTTATTTTTGTTGTATATTCATACTAAAAGAGAGTAGAGTAGAATCTAATTACTATCATCAGATAGTAGATTATAACTATTCTGAAATGTATAAATCTTAACTACTTATATTATATCTAGTTTATCATCAGAGTTATTTCTCAATTCTCTAATCTTAACAGAATTTTAAGAATTCAAATTCTGTTTATATTTAGCTGAAGAATTAAAGTTTAAAGATTTAGATAGTTAAGAGTTTCTTCTTTTTAAGCTTACAGTTATGAGTTTACTGATTTAACTATTCTCTTCAGTTCTAGATTTGCTTTGAGCTTTATCTTTTCTTCAGTTCTTTTGAGTTCTTGAAGTAATCATACATTCTTTTGAGCTAGATGTATATTTTTCTTTGCAATTAGAGCATTTAAGCAGAGTATGTTGATATATTTTATCTCTTTTTAAGCATATTTCACATTTATACTCACTAGTTTTGTAATCTCTGACATAGAATGCATATTTTGAGTCTCTAAAATAAGAGATTGTAAAGTGCTCATATCTTTGACAGTTTGAACACTGTGTTTGAGCTTTGAGATTCATTCTTAAGTCTTTGTATTCATGAACTCTTATTTTCAAATCTGTTACTCTTACTTCAGAGATCTTTGACTGTTTAAGTATCTCTATATATACTAGAACAGAGGCATTTCTTCTGCTTTGTCTGAACTCAATTGAATTTAGTTATACAGACTCTTTTCTCAGTTGAATAGAGTTGTATTCTTCTAATTCATTTTCTTTATTTTCATTAATTAATTTAGAAAATAAGCTGAATTCAAATAGATTTCTTAATTAAAATGAAAATAATTCTTTAAAGAAAATGCTCTCTTAACTATATAAACTATATTCACATATTCACTGATTAAAAATTAATTTTCTTTATTAAATATTAAGAAAATTGATTATGAGCAGATATCTATCTGAAGAGAAAAGCTGAAATCTCTCATCAACTTATAAATAAGTAAACTATTTAAAGAGAGAGAATATAAACAGTATTTAAACAAGATCTCTATAATTAATATAAAAGACTCTATTCTGATTTACTCAGATAACTTAAAAAATGAGAATTTAAATAGATTAAATACAGACATTGCTTATACCGAAGATAATATTAATTTCATCTCAGATTTCTGAAATTTAAACTGTCAATCTTAAGTTTTTAATACTGAACTTAATATGACGATAAGTAAATACAGAAAATGATATAAAGAAGATAGGGTGAATGGAAAGAACTTCTGCGTCACTGATTAAAAAAAAAAGAACTTGGATCTGATATTCGTATTCCTAAAGTTCATCGTCATAGTGATGGAAGGCTCCTTTTATAAAAAACGACGACTTCATTTTGAAGTAATTGTTAAGGATTTTTGTTCCGCTGCTAATAGACTTTGGCCAGTAAGGATCACTCATTCTGATTCTAAGCGCTCGCAAAGGGGAAAACCTTGTGTCAACAGAGACAATTGACACCGTTGATACTTGCATGGCGCTGTAAAAGCACCCCGGGGTTCTATCGGATTGGTGAAAACTGACTGCTGAACGGCTCGAAATAGGTGGCCAGCGAAATCTGATGGTGAATAATGAACTGCCTCGAATCAAAGAGAATTGATAGGTGGTTGTAATTGAAACTTGAAACAAAATGAACGTGCTTGTGGAAACAGGGATATGAAGCAGCAGCGTTAAAGATGACTGTTAAGAATGAATGCCGGTGAGCGTTAACAAGGGTTGCTAAAGATAGACATGCACTTACTCAGTTGCTAAGCGCCTGGATTCTGAGGTCTCATTCCTATTAGCAATTTTCCCCGAGGCGCGTAGTACTTAAATTAATGCCTCCTACCCTAGCTAAGAGCCAGTTCGTGGGCGCAGCGCGAGTTATAGGAAAGAGATGGATTGATTGGAGGCTCAAGTTGTTTAGGTTGGATGCCTAGAAATTGATTCGACTTCAATAGTCTATCTACTAACGCGCTAGGCCACGAAAATCTGTAGCCCCAGCGCAAAAACTAGAGTTAACATTTCAGATGGGGATTCTCTAATAGAATAGGGATAAATATCCCAGTGTCAATTTACATCCTGTCTACTGGTTAGTAGGTTGTAGTTGGCAAGACCAAAAAAAAAAAAAAAAAACAAGGACAACGAAAGGCGTACCTCGCTACCGGGGTAAACCCAAGTAGTCGCATGCCGTTCTCGAGTACCTGACGGGCTCCCTCATACAATGCGGACCTCGCCAACATGACCTCAGGGCCCTCATTCATCCCTAGGACCTTAATCACATCGTACGCAGAAGACACTTGATGGGTAAGTCGAAAGAGATACGTGAGAACAGTGATGGGTTCCAAAGTCTTGAATGCATGACTGGTTATATCGGGATATTGAGCCACTAGGCGAACTATATCCACGGCGTGGGGTTCCTTGAGCAAGGTAAAGTCAGCCTTTGCAACTTGATCCGCCGTTAGCTGTGCTTTTCGCATGATCGAACAGAGCCTTGCATGCGAATATTGGAGGTAAGGTCCTGTATCGCCTTCAAAGGAAGTCATTCTGGTAATATCAAAAGCGTAATTGTTGATTCTTTTCCCACTCATATCCTGCGCCATAACTGCTGTGATACCAACGACATCTGCCACTGCTTTTGGGTCCGGAACTTGAGCGTACTTTGCTTCGTTGGCCCGCATAACTTCGTGCATGGCGTTCCCACACTCATCCAATATGTCGCTCAGCAGCTTCACCGTTCCGAGCCTCGACGACATTCCCTGAACTTTCCCGAAATTGACATGGACAAGTTTAGTCGCAATATCAGGGTAGCCCATAATCTCAATCGTCTTGAAGACACGCTGAAAGTACGAGTCTTGCTCAGCGGAAACGACATAGATCATTTTGTCAAATTTGTACTTGCCCACCCGCTCTAGCACAGCAGCGATGTCTCGAAGAAGATAGGTCGTCGTTCCGCCTCGATTCCTGACAACGGCAGTACCGAGCTTGCGGGCGCCGTGCTTTCTTGAAATCTATGACCCATGACCCCTCATTCTCTTCGTAAATACCTTTCTCCTTCAGCATTTTTTCGACGCTCTCAATTGTTTCCGGCCGAACGGTCGATTCTCCGGAGTATTCGTCGAAAGCAATGTTCAAGCGCGCGTAGGTACGGATGTACCTCTCGATACTGATGTCACGGAACCGCCTCCACAAGCTGAGTGCATCTGGATCTCCATCCTCCATTTTCTTGAAAAAGGCGTTTCGCTCGGCGTAAAGTCCTTTGTTCTCTATCTCCGAGGTATCCTGGCCGTTATCCCTAGCGTTCTTGCTGGCCTCCTGCTCTGGTTTGAACAAAGTATTGATCTTTGCATAAACGTCTAGTAAATGCTTCAAGGGTTCCTTTTGGAACAGTTCCTCGGATCCAAATTTCTGCCAACCCACGGCAAGCAAGCCGAACTGCTTCCCCCAGTCACCCAGATAATTTATTTTGACTACGTCCCAGCCCATACTCTCGTAGAGGTTCGCAATATAAGCCCCAATTATTGTACTACGGAGATGCCCGGCATGGAACTCCTTGGCGATATTGGGCGAAGAAAACTCCACGATTACTTTCTTCTTGCCAGCAGCCTCATTCTCAGGTTGTTTCAGACCAGCAATTTTGTCGTGGCCATACAATTGTCGTCGATCGAAGATGTACGGTAAAATTAGGCGGGGTAAAGTCGTGGCACTAAAAAAGATAGGAATGAAGACACCCTTAGGTACAGGGTTGGAAATAAGCGAAATGCCACAGAGCTGGAGCTGAATATTAGTTTCTAGTAAAGATTTCAATGTCAGGAGATTCGGAAATGCAAAGAATATATCACCTTGGATGATAAGTCAAGGGCAACCTGGTCTACATTGGCTCCTTTGAGACGAAGGCGCGCAACCACCACCATCACATCGCCGTGGGCCAGCACCTGTGTTCGTTGGATGGCATTATATGCAGTGTCCTCGTCACATTTGACCCCTTGCTTTACGACCTTAGCAACATAGCAGCGATATACGTCGACCGGATTAGCGACATTGTTCGCGGTGGGAAATGTTGGGACAGGTATCTCCACCTCGAGACTCTGGAGAAGCGTTTCCAGGCCATTAATAGCAAGAGTAGCCATGCTGAGCCTCGAAATGTAAGGCTGGTGGGAGTGTTTAATTGTGGTGGTTACTTTGCGGATGCGGGCTGTACAATACTCCCGTTGTGAGTGACTGAGGAATAGTGAGACGGCGAAGACCCCGTCCCGTGACCCGCCAACTTCCAATGGATCCATACATACCGGAAGAACGTAGGGTTAATTTACGGTGATTCCACGGTGGTTCCACCGTTCCACGCCGGTCACGTGTCGCCGATCGTAACACATTGTGCCACCATTGATTTCAGTGACACATTGCTGAAAATTAAATGTCAAGATGGCATTGAAACAGCACAGGACTTCTTGACATCATCAGAGGACTCAGTCATCATTAGACTGACCATGTGACCGAGTCTGAGACCAGGATCAGAATATTTGATGATCTCATTACCAATTCAACTGATCTGATTACACTGTTTTAACATTAGATAGTAGTTTCATACTATCTCAGTAAGACTTACTGTCTACTCTTATTACATTTTTCAAATGAGATCATGATTTTTACTTCTCAATTTAAATTATTTTTATTGCTTTAAATAACTTTAAATCTTATTTAAGTGTTATTAAAAAGTGTTACTTTTTAAAAAATTAAAAATAGTCTAAAAAAAACCTTAAAATGTCTAAAAATAGTAACTTTATATCAAGAATGAGACTAAATGAAATTAAATGAGATTACTTTCTTATTTTTTTCAAATTATAATCTTATTTTAGAATCTGATATATAGTTACTTTGCATGTTTTTTTAATAAGTAGTCTCAGTAGAATTCACATCAAGAAATGTATAAGATCAGATTAAATGAGATTAAATATGAAATTCATAATCTCAGCAGTCAGTCTAGTCATTACGTAATTAACAGATGTTATTATCAAGATACTACTAAGATACTATGAGTTATAATATACTATTCTATCAGTGAAATCAATACTTGTATACTATTCAGTTAGACTAGTTAACTACTTTATATAAATTAAATTACTATCTAAAGAAATAAGACATCTTAAGTATAATATAAATATCTTATTATCTGAGATTTATACACTAAATAATCATTATTTTCATCAGTATCTAGTATTGAAATATTATATAATACTGTCTTTTGAACTGCTAGAAGTCTGATAATAGTATAACTATTATTCTCTTATAAAATTAGCAGATTCAGCAGATAATACTGTCTGATATAATGTAGAGAAGTAAGTGTAAAGAAAATCTGCTTCACTCTTCTTATTTTATAAATAAAAATAGTTATAATTCAGTCAAGATTAGTTCTCTGATATTAAAGAATATTCTTTTTTATAAGAGAGATTCAGTGAATATACTCTCTGATTTATATATTAATAAGTTAATAACTAATTGATTAATTAGTTGAAGAGATATACTGAACTGAGAATATTAACTTATTATAGAAAAGAATTGAATGATAATCTAGTTTTAAAACTGAGAACTTATTTCAATCAGTCTTATAGAATTCTCACAGATTATTAAGAAATAAATAAAGTAATTCAAGCTTGAAAAGATTTATAAATTATATATTAACTTTCTCTGATATTTTATTTAATAATAGATGATTAAAAATCTTTGAAGTAATATAATCTTTTATTAACATTAATTTAATAGAGTAGTTTAATGAATTATTATTCTTATCTTTATCTTTTTTATTCATTCTCAGTAAATTATTAAAAAGTACTGAGTAATATATATACAAATTCTGAATCTTCTATATCAGATGTATATCAGAGCTGTTAAAGAAATCTCTTAATACTAGTTATAAAATTTACTGAAAACTCTTCTATAAGAGTAGTGTCTTTTTCATTATTATTATTATTATTATTCTTTCATTATACTCATATGTAAGCAGAGCTTATAATGAGTCCTTGTGTGATGTTAAATACAGGCCAAGTGTTGATTATACAGGAGGAAATACAGGTATTGAGATCATGTCAAGATAACAAGAACATAGAAAATACAAAGAAGTGACAATTAAATACATGTAATAATAACTTCTCAGCTCAGAAACATAGAGCAATTTTTATTGAAGTGATTTGTACACCTCTGTATTTATTAGAAACCTGAGGTGCTTGAGTTTCAGATTTAATGTATTCTCTGCAGGTTTCAAACCCACATGCTCTGATTTCTCATGCCAAGGTGCTACCAGGTGGCCGCATTAATCATTCAGTCACTGAGGCGTGTCTTTTTCATATTTCAATGATTTATTCACTGTACTAGATTTTTATAGTCTCAATACTTATTCTCTTCTATCAGAATATTATAATTGTTAGATACAGTATATTCTTTAATCAGTTTAATATAGTATAAGTTAATATGCATTAGACTGACCGTGTGACCGTGTCTGGGACCAGGACCAGAATTTTTGATAGTTTCATTGTCAATTTGACAGATCCCATTACACGGTTCTAACATTAGATAGTAGTCTCATACTGTCTCAGTGAAACTTACTGTCTACTCTTGTTACATTTTCCAAATGAAACCATGATTTTCACTTCTCAATTTAAATTATTTTTATTGCTTTAAATGGCTTTAAATCTCATTTAAGTATTATCAAAAAGCGTTACTTTTTAAAAAATTAAAAATAGTCTAAAAAAAACCTTAAAATGTCTAAAAATAGTAACTTTATGCCAAGAATGGGACTAAATGAGATCAAATGAAATCACTTTCTCATTTTTTTCAAGTCATGGTTTCATTTTGAGATCTGATATATAGTCACTTTGCATGTTTATTTAATGATTAGTCCCAGCGGGATTCATGCCAAGAAATGTATGGGACCAGATTAAATGAGATCAAATATGAAATTCATAGTTCTGACGGCCAGTCTAATATGCATATTCAGCTGATTCTTTATATATTATATAAGCTTTGCTTTTTTAATATAATCATCACTGTCAGTATATATAGTAACTATACTCATAGTTAAAGCAGAGAATAATTGATAATTAATAACTGAATCAGTTTAGAATAATTTAAATATTACTGCTGCTCTCACTGCAGCTTTAATAAGAAACTATAACTATCAGCAGACTGTAAGTATAATTTAATAGATTACTTTAAAATTATTTTCTCTCAGAGATTAAGATATTAATAGACTATTACTTCTTATAATAACTGCATATATCTGAATAATAAGATTAATAGATGATTGATTTTGACTTTATACTGAAAATGCTGTAGAAATGATCTGCTTGATTACTGAACTGAGTCATTTCTCTCTGAGTTTACACTGTAAGATAAGAGATATAATGATTGAAGCTTAAGTATGTTCTTGAAGCTGATACTTCTTGAGATAAGTGATTAACAACTGTAAATGGTTTCAACTATAAGAAAAGAGAAATGTCTATAATATTCAGAAGTATTCTTACTGATTATATAGTAACAGAATAGAACAGATCAGTAATAAGTATAAAATCTCTAATATTTCAGTAAACTCACTATAATATGAATCTGAAGAGAAAAATAAGATTAAATTTAAACTTAAATATATTTAAAAAAGAGATACTGTCTATACTGTTATACTCTGCTCTTGACACATTTGATCTCTGTATATAAGATTCAGCAGATTATCTAGTTTAGCCTGAAGATGCTGTATATGATGATGAAATCAGTCATTATTATGTAAATTGTAGTTCAAATTCAGCTGATACTTATCATTAATAAAACAGCTTCAGTAAGATCTTCTTACAGTTGATTCTTTAATCTCTATATTACTATTTTACTGTGATATATCTTTAAGAAATGTTATACAAAATGCAATCACTCTTGTCTTTTCTTCACTAATATTCATCATAATGGTCTTATAATTTAATATAGATAAGTCATGTGATAATGTAGTAATAGTGTCAGAGAAATTGATACTATAAGAATTAAAGATTAAAGTAAAAATATTATTTCACTTTAAGCACTCAACAGCACTTAGTGTAGAAATCATATAAAAACTTATCAAGCTTCAGTACATATTTCAATATAAATTAAATTCATCAATGAACAATTAATATAATAGAAAAATAACTTGTATATCAGAGTAAAATATACTTTTCAAAATGTCTTATTCATATGCAGCAATTTTCAACTCAGTCTGAATTGATAAAGATTTATAATATAATTATATCTCAACAGCTTCAGTCTTAGTTCTTATAATCTGATAAAGAAAATACTGATCTTTATTCTTATATTTCACTGATAAATTGAAATCTGATTCAAACATTGTATTCATATGAACATTAAGTTAATTCAGAATCTGAATAATTGAGATATATTTCATCTCATCTTTCACTGTGATTAATTCAAATGAAATAAATGATAGATTTAAGAATGATAATCTTTGTACTATCTGAGAAGTATAATAAATAACTTCTTGAACTTTCAGAACTATTATATAAGATCTCATTCTCATATCTGAATATCAGTGATTATATCTGACAAAATGCACTCTCTTAATATAAGATATATCATTTAATTCTGATTTACAGTAGCATTCAAGATTTCCACACTAATATTAAATAAAATCAGAAGAAAAAAGAGGTTTATTTATTAATAAATATCATACAAAGTTACTGAAATAATATTTGACAGAGCTCTCTTAACTTTGAGATTATCATAACTCAGTGAAATTGTTGATAAGTTCTATTATTTCTATATACATCTATCACTGAAAATTTGAGAATTTGAGAAGAGCAGATATTAATGAAATTGAATTTTAAAAGTAGAGTAATCTCATGAAGAATATGATGAGATTTTTCTAAGCAGAACTCAGAGTTGATATTTACATTGATAATACTATTAAAATTGATATTTTCTTCACTGATAAAATTGAAAATTATACTCTGTATTTCTTTTTTAGAGTTAATAGGCCTTTAGAGAGCAGACTTATCAGTGATATATTCTTCAATAAATACAGAATTTACAGCAGTAATTGATAGTTTTTTCAGAAAATACTCAACTCTTCAGCTCAGAGTCTTATTATCAAAATAAATGA